CCGGGGATAAGTACCAGAGGACGAGACGACTGCGCGGGACCCAGGGGAGTCGTGAATTGATGGAATTAGAGGTGGAGGACACGCGTTAGGGGCGGCAATTAACCTAAACACGCGTTAGGACGCGCAAGGCAACTAAGGTAAAGAATATAAGAAGATAATAAAGAAACTTAAGTAATAAAAGTAAAATAAATAAAGTAATTAATGTTAACTAAAAGGCTTTTAAAGCTTTATAACTAACCTGCACTTAAAGCTAACTAAAAATAAAATATAATAAAGAAATAAGTATATTTAAAAAAAGTGTAAAAGTAAGATAAAAAAAAGACTTATTAGTTATAGTGCTTATAGCACTTAAAAAGACCTAAAATAAAATAGTAGCTATAATAAAGTAAATAAAAAAAAACATGCAACTCAGATTAAAATAATAATAAAAGCACTTACCTAAGAAGTAAAGGCACTAAAGGTAGAGAATAAAGTAATAGTAAATAAATTTAAGACTCTTTTAGCTAAATCTTACACACTGCCTAGTAGATTACTATCTTATGCTGCTATAGCATAATTACCTCTAAGCAGCTAGCCTAGTAACTTATAGACCCTTTTTACTAACACAGCACTTTTAATAATAATAGACACATTCTACTGCACAATTAACATATCTAGAATTAAAAAAGTAGATAAAAAGAAAGTAAAACTAAGTAAGATTAAATAAGCTATTAAAAAAAAGATATAAATAAACTATAAGTGCGTAAAATAGTAATATGTAGTAGTAGTTAGAGACCTAAGGAACACTAATTAAATTAAAGTTACATGTAGGGATAAAAGTAAGCTTTAGGTAGTTAAAAAGGCAGCCTATAAAATAGCAGCTAGAGGAGTTAGAATACTGCGCAACTAGCTTTTCTTAATTAGAGTAGATAACACTAACTAGCTAGTAGTGCTGTTAAAGAAAAAATAAATCTAACTAAAAGCTCTAGAGGCCTTTAAAGCTAAAAATAAGGTGTAAGTAGTAAAAGTTAGCTAGTTAAGTAAAAAGAATTTAAAAAAAAGTATATAAATTAATAGTAGTATATGTTACTAAAAGTAGTAATGCAGCCTAGCTGCTATAAAAATAGTACTTCTACATTAATAAAGAATCTGCATATATAAGACTGTTTAAACTGCAAAATAGACTATTATAGTGCTACTAATGCTAATAGCTAGGGCACAAGGCATTTACATGCACAAGGCAGCAGGTTTGTGCTAGGTGCGCTAGCAAAGAACACTACTATAGTAAATGCTAAGTAATAGTCTTTAAATGCGTACCTTATAAGAGCCTCTATAAATCTTTCTTTAAAAACTATTAAGTGCTATACTTTAGTTAAAATGCCTAGGACGCTTAAGATATTCTAACTTAATATAAGAAAAAAACATAAAGTACTGTATAGTATAATAAATAATAAGTAACTATAAAACTTTACTATATTAGCTATTTAAAAACCTTATGCGTAAAGAAATAAAAAAAGAAGAATTATTATAACACTAGCTAGACACACCTACTAGGCTAAATTTACGCTAACTGCATGTAGAGACAGAAGGTGGCCCTTCTAGAGTATGCTCTAGATATAGAAAGACATTAAGGCTAAACAGCTACTAGTATAGTTGCTAGACCTTACAGCAGCAACACTATAACTACCTAGTTAAATAGTTCTAGTAGTGTTAGTCTATGTTAAGATAAAAAATAAGTAAGCACTAAAAAAAATAATAAATTACATCTAAACTTTAATCTAAACTGCACATAACTAAACTAGAACGCAGGTGGACATAGTTCTAGTAGGTAATTTTAACTAACATAACTAATTATAAAGAAAGAATAATGTGTTAAACACTTACTAAAGTAAAGTAGACTCTATTATACACTTTATAGTAAACTATTTACTTTACAGCCTACTTCCTAGAGGCATAAAAACATAGCAGTAAGGAATAAGTAAAAGCACTATTAATTTAATGCTAACTTTAGACAACCTAGCAGCTACAGCACTATGCTGTAAAGTCTATAAGATAGAATATAGGTTAGATTACAAAGTAATTAAAATAACCTTTAATATAAACACTTTAAAATAGTAAGTAGAAGCAAGACTATTATTTAAAAATGCACTATAAAAAGTAATATAAATAAGAGTTAAAAAGACGCTTAAAGCTAAACTAATAAAGAGTAGTGTACAGTAATAGATAGATAGGCTAATAGAAGTAGTAATAGAGGCAGTCTACAAGCTAACCCTAAGAGCTAGGCCCTTACTGTATGCAAAAAGATAGTAGACTGCAGACCTTATATAGTTATAAAAGGTATATACACACTAAAGAAATAAGGTAAAAGCAGAACAGCAGGTAAAAAAAATAAGTATAAAGATAAAATAATAAGTAAAGGTAGCAGTAAAAAATTTTTACAACGTAATATAGTAATAGCGCAGAACTTACTAGAAGGACTTTTTAGTAGATAATACTAACATTTAAAAAGCTATGAGATACTTTAAGCTAAATAGTGCTATAACATTTAATAAAATACCCTCTTTAAAAAGAACTAATAAATTAAGCATAGAAGGAAATTTAAAGATAGTAGATAAGTTGCTATAGTTATTCTTTCTACTGCTTTTAGACACTATTAAGAATAAAAGCAAACACTAGTAACATAGCCTAGTTAGCATGCCTAACCTAACTATAGATAAAATAGAATGCTGTCTGTTTGCAGCTAAGCTGTAGAAGGCACTAGGCAATAATAGGCTCCTAGTTATAGTATAGAGGCAGCTATAGCTAGTTATAAAAGAGAGAATCCTACTTTTGTTTTAAACATTACTAAAAAAGGAAGTTATTCTAGCATAGTAAAGAAACACTTAGATTATTCTACTTAAAAAGCTAAAAAAAAGCAACTATAAAAAGTAGTAAAGTTATAAAGACTTATTTTTTTACTATTAACTTTTAGCAAAATTTTTAAAGCTATTGTAGTAAAAAGAATTTTATATATAATAAAAACATATAAGTTACTTCTTATAAACTACTTTAGTAGAAGGAAATAGTAATTAGTAAAATAAGTGCTATTAATATTACAAGAACACATCTACAACGCATAGAGATTTAGAAAAGTGCTAAGTCTAGTAAGCTTTAACATAAAAAGAGCATATAATAAAGTATGCAAAGACAGGCTAACCTAGAGGCTCTGTGCTAGAGGGATACCACTAGGCCTAGTACAATAGATAGACGCCTTTTGCTCTAATTATACAGCAACTATTATAGTTAACAGCTACATGTCTAAGAAGAAACTGCTGCCCTAGGCAGGGCTTTGTTACGGTCTACGGTTGGACCAGCGTAACCCCACCAGCAGTGCTCCACAATCTAGCTGGTTTGGGGCAGGGTTCGCTTAAGGACCAGTCGGAGGACGCGGAAGCAGCGCAGCTGCCCGAGATCATAGAAGAATGCGCTATCTAATAGGAAGGCAGGCTGCGAGTTTAGAGAGCCTAAGGGAGCTCATAAGAGCCCCTCTTAGCAGGCTCCTATAGACTCCCGCCAACTCCTCTTAGCGTCCCTAATACATGTATATAGTTCCTACATTAAACAACCTTTAAGAAGGTGTGTTTAATGTTTAGTTTATTTATTACATAGACTAAGTAGCATTTAGCTTTTTAAAGAGCTGTAATACTATTTATATATCTTACACTATATATACCTCTAACCTTGTCCTATAAGGACTGTTTGACCTGGCCTCCCTACTGCCGCATTAAGGGCAAACCACAAT